TGTATTGGCTTAACACTTGATTTACAGGAAGCAGATGTTACATCTAATGATCAAGCACCAATACTCAAGAAATTAAAACCAAATTATGATCGTTCATCACTGGAAGGTATGTGTGTATACATGCAGAAACAACATATTAAAGTATTTTACCATTTCAAAAATATCAGATTTTATATTGTAGCATCAGATTGAAATAGAAAGTTGATGTAGTTCTCCCTAAAACTTATGAGATACTTCAGCATGTTTGTATTTATATCAGAGAAAACAAAACAAAGCAACCATATACACACACTTGTATTCAACCCCTGTGTTTAGTTTTAAACGATAATTTTCATTCACACTGGCTAGACATCTCTGCATCTGCCTTGTATCATCTTGGTTGTGGTTGTCAAAGGAAGTTTCTTGTGGCCTCATATTTGCCTCCTGGGTAAAATCAGTTTACAAAATCATTTTATTACTAACATCACTATAATCCTTATTAGCTTTAATAACCACAGATTCCCAAATGGTCAGGTTTTAGTGGCATGAGAACACATAAATAAGGCCCCAAAAAATCTAGAAAGCCAACATCTTCAAACTACATTCTGGCTACCTGGAGAGCTGCCTTTCATATTTCTTTAGTCATTAGCACAGTTCTGCCTCAAATATCAATAAAAGTATGTGCTTACAGAACTTATGTTTCGGAAGATTTTGAAAATTAATTTGGATATTAATTCATATGCCCATTGATCAACACTTACCTCATCCTGGTCTCCTTCTCTCAGCATCTTGAAAGCATAAACTTTTATTCTGTTACTCTCTTTCCAGAAGACCTCAATATTAGTCAGTGACAGTCACCAACATTTATCAAAAGATGCCATACCTCTCTCTCACTACTTAGGAAGGTTAGCTTGTCAACACTGACTTTTAACTACCTCCTTCTGTCAAAACTTTATTCATAAACATGAACTTACTTAAAAATGTAAAAGTGAGTCAGTTTTCTCATCATGTTTTCTCAAAATACAATTTGTGAAAATCCTTAAACAGTAATGTATGTAAAGTTGTCATTTTCCCTTCACATATTCAAAACAACTGATTCAGCCAAAATAACTGATTCTGAATCAATGTATGTATTTGAATCTATTAAAAGTCTGTGAAATAAATCCACTATGTGTACTGGATTTATTACATATGGTAGATAGTGAAGGTAGTTCTCCTGTGCAGGAGCATAACTATGTAGTATTTTGAAGATTCCAGGCCATGATCTCAATAATAAAGATCAACAGTCAAATCTCCATTGTTTCAGCACATACAGAATGGATTTTTAAGAAGTCATCATCTATGGATAAAGTATGTAATATCTTACTTTCAAATTTCCAGTCATACAGAGTCTATTTTTTTGGCTGTAGTGGTTTTAAAGCAAGACTATAACAAAATATATCTAAAACACAGTTAAAAAGGTATATGAGCAAAGGCAGTTACAGAGAACTAAGCAGTTCTAAAAGGAAGGGTTCTCACCTGCACTAAAAATCAATTAAAAAGAAGGATGAAGATTAAACAGTTTCTACATTGCCAAGAGATAGGGGAGCTTCACAAAAATCTGCACTACTTAGTATGTTCATAATAATTCAAATAAAAGGACAGTTTAAAAAGTGTCAAAGAATACTGACAGTAAAACATTATTTTAGGTAGGGGGAAGGGCTGAATGTGAAGAATACAAAAGGATTATTCTGGATCTTATGACACTCAATAACTGGACTGTCATTTAGAAAGCGGAAAAACAATCCAAAGCTTTGTCAGTGTAGTGAATGGCTCTAAAGCTTACCATTACCAGTCAGAAATGAGATCCTCATGATTTTGTGAAAACACTGGTTTGATACACTGTCAGAAAATCAATGGTTCTCTAGGATTTGTGAGAAACCAAGCAGAACAAGCAGGAACAGGGAAACCTCAGTATGCCTCTTTCTAAATTACACATCTGGATTACTTGTGCAATTTTGGTCATTCACCTCAAAAAAAAAATACAGTAACCTTGAAAATATTCAAATAAAGATGATGACTTTGATAAAAAGATATGAGTAAGTTTTGTGAAAGGATAAACTAAAGCTAAAGATGGCTCTGAAAAAGAACACAAAGTATGACAGAATTTTACAATATCATAAGTGGAAAGAAGTAGATCATTCCTATTCTCATCCAAAACAAAAGCATAAGAGACATAAAATAAAACTAAGCAGCAGGTTCAGATACTATGATGTTAATCTCTAGAATTCCTTGACCAAAACTTCTGCTGACAACAGATACTTACTTGTACATACTAAAACTGACTGAACAAATTCATGAAAGAAAAACACCTCTAAGGCTATTATAAACAAATGCTAATTCTGTCTCAAAACATTTCTTAGTTGAAAATTGGGGGAGGCTGAGAGATCATTCTGAGGAAACAGCATTGCATCATTATTCTGTTCTCCTTCCTAGACTTTTCACTGTTGGCTAATGTAAGAGAGAAGGAAGTTGGTTAGGTCAATCTTTGGTCTGACATAATACAATTTCACTTTTTTGCTTAGAGTCCTAAATCTATACCAGAAAGTGAACACCCTGAAGACAGCAACACTTAAAAGAGCTATTTGATTCCTGTTCCAAAAAATAATGTCACACCCTAAAATTTCACAGAATCACAGAATCGTCTAGGTTGGAAAAGACCTTGAAGACCATCCAGTCCAACCATTAACCTAACACTGACAGTTCCCAACCACACCATATCTCTCAGCACTATGTCAACCTGACTCTTAAACACCTCCAGGGATGGGGACTCCACCACCTCCCTGGGCAGCCCATTCCAACACCTAACAACCCCTTCTGGAAAGAAATACCTCCTAATATCCAGTCTAAAACTTCCCTGGTGCAACTTGAGGCCATTACCTCTTGTCCTACCACTTGTTACTTGGGTAAAGAGACTCATCCCCAGCTCTCTGCAACCTCTTTACAGGGAGCTGTAGAGGGCATGAGGTCTCCCCTCAGCCTCCTCTTCTCCAGGCTAAACAATCCCAGTTCCCTCAGCTGCTCCTCCTACGACCTGTGCTCCAGATCCTGCACCAGCTTTGTTGCCCTTCTCTGGACACGCTCGAGTCATTGAATGTCCATTTTGTAGTGAGGGGCCCAAAACTGAACACAGGAATCGAGGTGCGGCCTCAGCAGTGCCGAGTACAGGGGTCAGATCCCTTCCCTGTCCCTGCTGGCCACGCTAGTGCTGACACAAGTCAGGATGCCATTGGCCTTCTTGGCCACCTGGGCACACTGCTGGCTCCTGTTCATTTCTCTCTCAAATTCACAAAATAATTTAAAGTGATTGAATGTAAGATTTGTAACAGAACACACTGTATGTATTTATATATGTAAGCAAATATTCAGATGCATATTTATAAATACAAATATGCATTGCATCAGAATAATTTACTAGAAAGACAGCATTTAATCTCTTTCACTTTGACATGCTGATGTCTTACTTCAAAACAATGGGATACAGAAGACAAGCTGAACAAGAAGTTAGTTTTCTTTTTGAGCTACAGAAGGCAGAATCTTTGAAAAATTATAAAACTTTATTGAAAAGAGAGATGTAGTATATATATTTTTTCCTGTTACTGTGCAGAACTACATCTAGATGTACACATAGTTTGAGCAGAAATAATCTAAACTTAGTAATTATGCAGAATATGTTATAAACAGAATCCTTTAATTATCAAGGGATCCTTTCATAAGAAAGATGAATCTGAATCTACTTCAATTTAAGGAGAAGTCTGACAAAGGAGGCTGAAACTTCATATTAAAAAGGGTATTTCAATACGTATTAAAGAATAAATTTCCAAAAAGTAATCAGATTGCATGGAAAAAAGAGAGGGTGATTAATAACCTTGAAAAGGAATTAATAAAATCCAGAGATTCTGTCATATTGAAAACACAGAGATTACAGTAACCTGCAGAAGACACTGCAATGTGTTTATGTTTGAAATACCTCACCATTATTAGGACTCACTATGATTTTGGTTTTCAGAAAAACCTACAAGAAATAAGGATCATAGTATGATTAGGCAGATGAAAAATTTTTAAAAAATTAAAACTGCACAACACACCCCTGATATCTTATTTAGATGTTATGCTTTGTAAAGGAAAAAAAAAATCTTCAAATAAGTCACAATGATGAAATACAGTTCAGACAACAAAAACATCATCAATCAATGAAATTCTGAATTTTTAATTGCCATGATCAATATATAAAAATTTTTAAAATTAGATGTACAATTAATAGTTGCATTCTCACAAGTGACTGGATCAGACTATTTTATGCCAAAAATTGAAGATGATAATATAAGAACATAACAACTTCAGCAGGAGATTTGTTCTCCAATAAAATGTGATTAAAGGTGAAGCTGGTAAAAGTAATGAAAAGATTTAATGAGGCAATATATTAACAATATTCAGAGATAGGTAGTGTATCACCCTGAATAGCTAAAAGCTCCATGAAGTGCAATACAACAGCTAAACCTGTGTTAGTAAGCCAATGTATTTTAAAGGTCATTTGAAAACAAAAGCAAACACTTATAAGTGAAATAAATACATTAATTAAAGTTTTCTGCACAGCAATTTAAATCACTGTACTCAGTGGTGTCATCAAAAGATTTCAGTATTTTTCCTAGAGTACTGAATGTGGAAACATTTTTGGGAAGATGAATCGGTGTGTTCACAAGAAGGATTCATGATGGATTTGGGACATTGTATAAATTAACTCACAAGGACAGGAACATATATTGAAAGTGGTGGCAAGTTTTTGGCGGAAGCAGGGAGGATTGTTTTTTCTGCAAAGGAACCATAAAAAGAGCATAGGAAAGAGCATATAGCATGAAAATACTGTTTTTAGAAACTGGACTTTAAAAATTAGGACACAGCTATGCAATGATCTGAGTGAGCCTAGATACAATGTGTAACAGCATTTCCAAAGGATGAAAGGTTTGTGAAGAAAGACTTACATGACTTGTAAACCTTCTGCTGTTAGATTATTCCACATGATCTCATTAGCTTGCAGGTTTTCATTTTCTTCTAGTAAGGACGTATCAAACTCTATTTCTTGTTCAACAACTTCTGATGACCTTATTTAGTAAATAAATGTTATATTTTCAAAATTAACATATACCTTTGAGTAGGTATAAATCAAATAAAGCAAATCATTATGTTTAATTTTTTTTTTTTTTTTATAACTGTAATATAGTTTAAATTATATATGAAGGAAAGGTAGCAACTGGATGCATATACTTTTTCCTCTGAATGAAGAAAGCAGTCTTAAAATCATACCAGATAATAAAATGGCATACAATTCTTTGAACTAATATCACAGCATAACCAAGTTTCTCAAGGGCCATCAATGTGAACATTCCACTCTTTGCTATAAGTCTGCATGTGATAATTATCAATTTGCACATAACAAAAAAGAATGCAAGAAGTCTTAGGACTATTTCTGCATACACTAATACAGAGTAACAGTTCAATAAATGGTAAATAGTTTATTTTTAAAGTAAAAAACTTCCTTCCATTATCTGCATACTCTGTAGTCTCAGGCACTGCTCAACATGCAGTCACTGCACAGTACACAGAGGTACCTAGAGGTCACCTCAAACTAAAATTTGGACAGTAAGAGAAATAAAGCAGAGAAACTCAGTTTAGCCCAGAATGCAACTGCATCCAAATACACCGTAAATTGGCTCACTCTGAATCTGGACTGTCATGTATAGTCTGCTGTCAGTACCAAAGTTATGGCTACATGTAATAATGGTATCTGAAATTTTGTTTTTTCTAGAGCCAGACAAAGAGACAGATGGCTAAAGAAATAGTCAGATTAAAAACCTGACTTTCAGCTCATTTTCTGTACATATAAGTAAAACAATTTTCAAAATACAATAAAGCTTTACAAGTAACAATGTAAAAGGAACCAAACAGAAACAAATTCAACTCTGATCACTTAAGCAGTGCTGCAGTTTAATGCAGGGTTTTCTCAAGAAGAAACATGAACATGCACACCAAGATGAAAATGTATACCTGTGAGTATCTATGAAGTCATTATACTCAGAATTAGGGTCTATCTGTTCAACCGAGGTCTGGATCTCTTTATGGACATTCACAATCTCCTCTGTTACAAGACTGGTGATCTGGCTATACTCATCCAAGATTCCTTTTCTAGAGAGGAAAAAAAATTCTAGTGTATAACATGGCACTGAAGGCATAGATGGCACTGAAGATGCTTCAAACTTTCAATCTGCTGTTTCTACAAACTCTTGTTGCAACTGGCTAAAAAGGGAAAAAATAAGACAATATATTACTCAAAGAAATAACAGATCAGCTGTGGCCCTTTCTTTACAGATTGGCTATGAGTGAGAATAATATACCTACATACAGGGTAGCTAAACTAAAAACTGTAGAGATTACAAGGAAAAGGGATGTATACAGCTCACTGATAACACTGTTACAGCAAGCATAAAGGACTTATGCTTGTCATAACCTACACTAAAGCTTTTCATGTTCTGACTTACAAAATAAATATATTCTGGCATAAGTAAAAGAGTCAAAAAATAGTGTTCACTTCCTTTAAAAACTGTTTTTTATTATTTTAACTATCTTTCATATATTTATTTTATGATTTGTCATTCACATTAAAATAAGCATATATCACAAGTTAGTATGTATTTACAAGAAGAAACAAAATCAAGCAAGAAGTTCCTGTAAGAAAGTACCAGTCACCCAGTCTTGTCTTTACCTGCTTCCAAGAGTGGGGAAAAAAAAAAGTGAATAGGGAATGGTAAAATAATAGGTGATATTGTGCTACTACTCTTAATATTATCCAGTGGCATATCCTCAGAACACCCTCTTTAACATTTAGCTTTCTATAAATGAACGCTCATAATAATTTCCTATTTCGCTTTTGTATCTGTAACTTGCTAGCTTGCAAGGCTCTGAAACATAGTGAGCTTTCATAAATTTTGGCCAGCTCAGAGGAATATTCCGAGAAAAAAATATCAACAGATTTTTCCTGGATAAGATCTGAAGTTATGTTTACTCTGTAAAAGTTATATTATTGGGATTTTTTAATACTTTGTCTGAGAAAACAGACAAGAGAAGGCATTAAATCTTGTCTTGCCTGCGAACAATATGTGTGAAAAGGTTCCATAAAATAGTTCAGAATGTGATGAAAAGATACGTGAATGTCATCTACAGCAACGACATATCGAAGAGAAAGGGAAACTATGTCAACTACCAAAAAAAAAAAAAAAAAACTAGATCACTTGCAAAATCAGAATTATAATGCAAATATGTTGCACACAGATGGCCACGCCAAGCTCTACAACTGAAATCATTACCTCTGTACACCAAAGATACTAGATAGGAATAATTTTCCATATATTCAGATCTCACAAAAAAGTCTATGCGGTGACAAAAATTTTTACAGGTTTTTACTCCAGACATAACAAAGGTGAGTGGGTTCTATAGGTTCTTGTTCCATCATAAAATTCTTCAGTGAATTATCATATCACAGTTATGAAAAATTACCTTAATTACAGCACACAAATTTAACTGTAGGTTTTTTCTGTGATTTTATATATAAAATTAAGACTAAAAGGACTGTACAGAGACTACTACAAAGGTCTATTTCATTTTGATATCTGCACCACAATCAAGGAAATTAATATGATACTGCATAAGGCAGTTAATGGTGTCTGCACCATGTGAACATATAAAGTGGGAAATCCCCAACACTCCCTCACTGAAGATGGTAGTGTGCTGAAGTCAAGATGAATGCAGACTTCAGAGAAGGTAATAAAATAAGTTAGAGTGCTTCACATCTAAATGAACCATACCTACTAAAAAAAGTAACTGCCCTTTCTTTTAGGCTGATTTAAACAACACCCCAGAAAAAGACGTACAGAACAGACTCCCTAATCAACTCCCATTCTTCAGGAAAGACAAAGAGGCATGGTGTTTAGAAAACAGAAAAGAGGGCTTAAAGTGCTCACTGTCTGTTTTCTGAGATCATCAGTTTGCACATCTTCTGTAATGATATCAAAAATGATCTTTTCAGAAAAAAGTGTATTTTTAAGGTTGGATTCCTTATAGTGAGAACAGGCTTATATGATCCTGTTACTTCTCTCACACATTTGATTAACCCCACATCTGCCCAGCCCTCCTCCATAATGACTTTAAAGACAGTTGGCCAGTTCAAACCAAATTTGTTGCTGGTGGAATTTCATAAGACAACCAGATAGACGACAAACTTGCCATAGTATATCAGCTGAAGGACAAAGCATGAACTAAGCTATAAACACTGCAGTTAATCTGTAAGATTTTAAATTTTTATGAGAGCGCATATTGATAGAATGTTTAAGTAACCACTCAAAACTACTGACTGCATTTTTTGGATAGACTTTCTATGCACAATTATTGTAAATTGAAAGATGGCAACATCTTTTTTCATTATCCCTTGATATATAATTAATCACAGTTTATTATTTTCAAAGAATCCTATAAATTAACCAGAATATTACACATACAAAATTCCACAAGTTAAAAATATATAATAATACATCTTACAGGGCTTTAATCATTTCTTCTTGCATCTTCTGTAGTGAATCAAGTAACAGAGGAAGTGTAGTATCATAATATTGGTGTTGATGTAACTGTGCTCCTTTCAGTGCCAACACATACTGATTATGCAACATATGAAGCTTCATAGTAGCTTTATCACACCGATCTTTAGCCTTCTCAGTCTCCTTTCCTAAAAGAAAACAAAAAAAGAAAAATGCACATGGTGATTTGAAAGAATACTAACTTCTAGATAACATAAATCTAGTATTTTTATGGTAAGTTTGCACCTTTTTCTACTGTTGTCTTTCCAAGGTACTTCCCTGAAGAAGGTCATATCTGATCATTAGTAAGACTAAATGTCTTGGTTTCTAATTAAAAGACTAAGAAAAAAACTGCTGTATTTTCTTTGAGCAGAAATGTGAGAATTCTTTATATAGAAGTATATGAAAACCACTATCTACACAGGTATGAAAATAATATAACTATGAAGAATAAAGAACAAAACTCATACATATGTCTACCACAAAGCTAATCTTTTATTTGCCTTAGAGCAAATAAACATTTTTAAATTAAGGAAGTTAAGATGTCCTATAAGGTCAGATACATGATTCACTAAAAATCTGTCACTGATTGTGAGCAAAAAATGCTATTGCTACATACCATCTCAATAAACCAATGGTGCAGTCACATATGAGTAGCTAGATTCTCACACTATTACTCCTGTCAAAAATGGGGCAGTTTCTCCACTACAATTTAACACCTCCTTATAACTGTCAGTATTCTAATCAGGAGGTTGGCTCTACAATCTCAGGTCTACTGTATTAGAAACTGGAAGTCCTCAAACTCATGCTGACAAGACCAGATCAGTGCTGAACCTGAGAGCTAAACCATACTTCAAGAGGTAACCTATTCTATTCTTTGCCACACTAAGTTTTATGATTTTCCTAAGATCTCCAATGACAGATAACTTTGCAACTTCCTAGTAACATTGAGGTATGGTGGTATGCTAGCTGCATTCCCCCACCTCCCTGCCCCTTCACTCTCCAACATAAAACTTTATTGCTTTAAACTCTTACTTACTTCTTATGTGCCATGGGTATGAAAAACAGATTCTATCATCCTCTGCAATTCATGTTTTATATATTAGATTACATACTCTCTTCTTGTGTCCAATCTTCTAAATTTTATACTAATGGACACACTGGTCTTCCCTTTAAAGTCCGGCTGTCTTTTTGCAGTTAACTGGTTCACAATCTTACACAAGTGCAACTTCAGTCAAGGAGTAATTTAACGTTCTAGATACTTATAGCTCATTAAAAAAAAAAATTAAACATTTTCTAAAAAAAGAAAAAAACATGTCTTTTTTTTTAATACAAAACAAATATGGCATGTTTTGGACTACTTTTGCTTTGGCATCTGATCCTGCCAAGGAAGACTATTTTTTTTGAGACTAATCTCTTAGTTTATCATACTGTTTCTAACTCTACAGCTGCCTTTCAGTGCACTTTCAGTCCCTTCAAGGCAAAGTGATGCCTGGGAATTTAAAACTCTGATACAAAGTAATGAAACATTGAAAGACCACCCAAACCTAATCTCAACATACATCCTGCAATGTACCATAGGATACATTATTATGGCAGGACCTCATTAACAATCATTCTCCAAGCAGCTTTATGCAGTTTTTGCACCTCTACTAGAATATTTTTGACTTGATCATGCATTGCCCTTGTCATAAAAGGTTATGAGATTATTCTGACATGATGTCTTACAGAGACACATAAGCTCTTACTCATATCCTTGTTATCTTCTTTATATTTATGAATTGTTTCATTTTTTCAGCAACTAAAGACATTTTAAATGAATCCTGTACCTGCAGTTATCAAGGGCAGATTCCCAAATACCTGCACAGATAAACACACACTAACTAAACCAATCTCACTGAGACCGCTACCTTTCTTATAACCTTAACATAATTTAAGTAATGAAAAAGATTTTATTTTAACATTTCTACCATCCTATCACAAAGTAGCTGAGAAATAAAAGGAATTATTCATAGATAAGTGGAAGAGCAGAGGCTTGAAAGCAGACCTTGAAAAGCTGAAATTGTGTCACATGAGAAATACCGAAATAATTTTGAACTCCAATAAAAATACAGAAATATGACATGTCAAAAAAAAAAAAAAAAGTTGAAGGAAAAAACCTGTAAAACAGTAACAAAACCTTTTTCATACACAGTGGAGTCAGAAAGCTTCTCAGTAAATGTAAAGGACAGTCACTATATAAAAGGAGCTGGTAGGATAAAAACTTTTTTTCCATCTGTGTTCACTATGGAAGACCTTCAGCAATTTCCAGGCTGAAATATCTCTTTATGAAAGAGTCAATTAATCTCTCTCTTCTACAGTGTTAGAAGAAGAAGTTAGAGAAAAAATAGAAATTATGAGAACTGGAAGGTGTTTAGCTTTGGAACTTGAAAAAGTTTTAGTTGAAATATTAAGATTAGTTTTCATAGGAGGAAGTAGGCACCCACTGCAGTGCCCCAGGCATATCAGTTGGGTCCTGACACATGAAGTGATGAAGATGACAATGAAGATGCTGCAGAAGAAAGTGAACAGGAGAACCAAATGTGAAGAACTGGGAAAAAACCTTAAGATGTACTGAATAATTTACCATTTTGTAATTTAATGTGTATTTATAGAAGAATGCGCAAATAGCATATGGGGAAAAATACTATTCAAGTTTAGTAAATGTACTCAGGTATGAGATCTTGGCGTTAGTACAGAAAGACTAATAGAAATGTTAACTCAGTATTCAGCAGCAGTTAGACAAGATATTATTTAGCAAATGACTACACAGCATTGTTATGGCACTGATTAAATCCACATAAACCAGCACGCAGTTATTTCACCTCAAGGAGGACATACTGGAAGTGAAAAAGGCTCAGAGAATGGCAATAAGGATCAGAAAGGTAGGGAACACAAGGAATTCAGAAGGAATGACTAAAAATGAGGACTCCACAAGCAAAAGGAGACCAAGGAGCAACATCTGAGAGGAGACCACAGTTAACAGATCTTCCCAACTTCTTTCAATGTAACAGTTGTAAGGCATTATATGGAACTAGTATGTATTTTGTTAAAAACGGGATGTTCTTAACTATCATGTCTCTAACCTACTCGGTCTTTTTGTTAAAGTTACCATAGGCATGAAAAAATTTGACAGTTTAATAGTGAATGGACATGTGTACACAAATCACAAAGTGCTACAAATAACTAAGAGTCACTCCACTTCTGACTCAGGAACTCCCTAGGTAACAAATTACTATGAAGTTGAGCTGTTTGTCCCCGTCCCGGTCCCCCATCCCCTGTCGTGTGTGTGTCA